TAATTCCCTAGGATGCTTTCTCCTCTTTTGTCATTTTGACATGACATGAAAGGTTTCCTTGGTGACAATATGTCTCCTGCTCAGATCCAAAATATATGTTAACACAGCACTCCTATTTTTCCCTTAAAACCTTAAAAAAATGCCACAAATGTCTATGTTTCATTCAGATTTTCCTAGTTTTAAACCCAATACTCTTTCTTTTTTTCTGCTTGAGGATCCTGTCCAGGAAGTCTCATTACCTATGGTCATTATGCCTCCTTAGGCTCCTCCAGGCTGTGACAATTTCTCAAACTACTCTTGTTTTTGATGAGCTGGGCAGTTTTGAGGAGGAACCTAAGACTTTTGTAGCCTTTTGAGCTTTTAAAAAATGCTTTCCAGAAAAAAGAAGTAAGCTATAAAGGTCTTTTCCTGTGTCACAGAAGAATTTCTTTACCAGTGCAGATTAAACCCTGCAATTGCACTACTGGGTATTTACCCCAAAGATAGAGATGTAGTGAAAAGAAGGGTCATCTGTACCCCAATGTTCATAGCAGCAACGGCCACAGTTGCCAAACTGTGGAAAGAACCAAGATGCCCTTCAACCAACGAATGGATAAAGAAGATTTGGTCCATATATACTACAGAGTATTATGTCTCCATCAGAAATGATAAATACCCAACTTTTGTATCAACATGGATGGGACTGGAAGAGATTATGCTGAGTGAAATAAGTCAATCAGGGAGAGTCAATTATCATATGGTTTCACTTACTTGTGGAGCATAAGGAATAACACGGAGGACATGGGGAGATGGAGAGGAGAAGTGAGTTGGGGGAAATCGGAGGGGGAGACAAACCATGAGAGACTGTGGACTCTGAGAAAAAAACTGAGGGTTTTGGAGGGGAGGGGGGTGGGGGTTGGGAGAGTCTGGCGGTCGGTATTAAGGAGGCAAGTATTGCATGGAGCACTGGGTGTGGTGCATAAACGATGAATCTTGGAACATTGAAAAACAAAACTAAATTAAAAAAAAAAAGAATAGCTCTAAAAAAAAATCTCTAAAAAAAACCCAAAGAAAAAAAATTTTTTGCTTATGGAGGATAGTGATTGCCACATATTGTACTTCCATACATGCAGAAGAATGAAAGGGTACACACCCATGTGATTTGACTTCTGAGCTGCCCAAGAGAAGATTTTTTAAAACTGGAAATAATTACATCCACAGAGAGGGTCAAGGGACCCTGCTGAGCAGATTTTTTTCTGGCCTTGTTGATCCTGGAGCAGAAGGGGCTAAAGCAAGGGGCATGCGCACACTGGCCAGGAAAAGGTGACTCAGAGCAGGCTGGTAAACACCGGATAGTTTACAAAGGTAAGTTTGGGGTTGTTTCCAGTGAAGCCTCTGGTTGCTAAGATTTAGACAGGGCGGGGCTAAGAAGGACGCAGACAGAGAGGGACTCGGTGACTTCCCTAGATTTTTGAGCACTTTTCCCCTAGAACCACTCAGGATGTCTGAAGTCCAGAAATATTCATGGCACCAGGCCTCCCCTGAGTAGGGAAGCCTGACTTGGCAAATAGAAACACAAGACTCCCAGTTAAGGATGAATTTCAGATAAATAATGAACAGCTTTTTTTAGTATAAGTAAGTTCCAGCCAATATTTGGGACACGCTTACGCTAAAAATTTATTTGTTGTTTGTCTGAATAGTCAACGTCCTGCATTTTCTCTGCATTTTCCTTGGGTTCCCATTGAGTAGGCAGGGGAGAGGAGAGGGCGGCAAAGGAGAAGGGTGGAGGGTGGACGGTTTCTAGCCTCAGCCCACCACTTTCAGGGAGCAGTTACCTTAACATGAAAGATAAATGTTGTATCATGTATTCTCAAAAGCTACCCCAGGTCAGCTTTCAAAGAAACTGCGAGCCTCTAAGACCTCTGGAACAGCATTCTTTTTGTCTCCTTCTTTCTTTATTTTTGAACAAATACCCAGGAAGTCTGTGTCCTATAAACAGTATCCTTTAATATATACAGTTACTGAAGAAAATCAAACCCAATCAGAAGCAATGGGTCAGCAAAGGTAGAATTTCTCCATGACCACCTGGTTCCTTTTTTTTTTTTTCCCTTCGCTGGACTCTGGATTTATAGACCAGTGTTTAGTCTCACACCTTTCTCCCCCTCCTCCTATCTAATTTCTAGTTTTCTCAGATGATGGCAGGAATAAAAACTTGACTGTAAAAAATCCCTCATGCATAGGATAATTGAAAATTAACTATAATTATAAAAATTAAGTGTTAAACCATACTACGTGCCTAGGCATAATTAAAAAAAATAGATAAGCACAATTTAACAAACTTAAAAATTTGAAACTGATAGAAGTATGCTCTTGGCCTCCAACAAAGTCAGCGAAAGGATTAAGCTTGCATCCTTCACAAATCAGCTGGGTCAAAATCAGCATTTAAAAGCCTTTGTAAAATAGAGTTGATACATCAGAATCTTTTAATGGCAGAAATTCCCATTAGCATCAACTGTTGCATAAATAATATTCATAATAGTGATTAGAAATGTTAATTTCTTAGAGCAATCATAATTTCCTTTAATCTACTATGGCAGTGTTTTTTAAACTCCAGATTATGACCCATTAGTGGGTCATGAAATCAATTTAGTGGGATATAATCAGCATTAAAGAGAATAGAATAGAATAGAATAGAATAGAATAGAAAATACTCAATTTCATTGCATACAATGTAAATATAATTTCATGAGCTTTAGCTTCAGCTTTCTAAAAACATATGTATAACTACTTGGTTACAATATAAAATGTATTTCATGGGATCTGTTCTGCACAGTCGGGAAATAGCTCTCTTATATTATAACAAATAAATTCTATGATCTAAAGGTAAAACACAAGTTTAAGTCACACATTGGTGAAAGAAAAAGAAAATATTGACAGTAGAAGATATTGTGATGGCTTATATGTGTTTAACCAATAATGGAGCCACTTCTCCACTTGCTGAGTTCTGATTCAAGGTGATATATGGGGCAAATCTACTTCTTATTATCAATGCAATAAGGATGCCTTGGTAGTCTATACAAGTCGAGGGCTATGGGGGCAGCCTGTCTCTACTGCTTACTGGCCAGCTGATCTTGGTCATGCAACTGAATTTTCTGTGTCCCACTTTCCTTATTGATAAGATGGGCCTTGTAATGAACTGGTCATCCAACCTGGAAAGATTAAATGAATTTATACACAGAACGTATCGAACACAGCATTTGGCACCATAGCAAGTCTTCAATAAGTGTTAGTTACTGGTTTTATTACTTTTTCTTATTTTTGTGTAAGAATAGGAAGTATTAGAGACTTTCCTGCCTCAAACTTTTAATTTTATCCCTGACAGTTGGAGAACGGAGGCCAGAGAGTGCTCTGTGGTTCAGCCCACGCACAGGCCCATGCATGAATTCTTCTTCATGTCTTTGTCAGTTCATTGGAATGAACTGCTTCAGAGTGACGTTCTCAACCTGGGACACATGATACAGCTTGCAGGATTGTGAATTTCTGAAATGTGACTGGGATTTTGAATGAATGTGCAAATACATCTTCGGGGGATACATGGAGGGGATCAATGGCTTCTAGCGTTAAGGGGGCCACATGTAGTACAGTGAAGACTTCGAAGAGCCTAGATCTAAGTTCAAGGCTTATTAATTAGCATGGTAACCCTGAGCAAGTTACTGAAATCTTGTAGCTCCACTTACCTGTCTGTAGGATGGGGATTAAAGATAGCTGCTACACAACACAGTTGCTGTAATAATTAATGTTTACAGCATTTGTAAAAAGCTTAGCACAGGCACAATGGCTGTCACAGGATGGGTATTCAAGGAAGTATTAATGGTGGAGAAAGGGTAGGGAGAATGGAGAATAGCATACAATGGTTGTTATTCTGAATTTCAATTTTGGAATGTTAAGTCTGTCACTGAATCATTCAATAATCATTCACTCAGTAATCAATTCCTTCATTTATTCAACAAAAATGGACCAAATGCTGCCACGTGTGAGGGCTTGGGGGAGGTGGTGAGGTGTGCCTTATCCATTGGTAAGACACATTCTCTGCCCTCACAGAGCTCACGATCCAGGAAGGCTTACAAACAGGCAGTCACCAACCTTGTGATTAAATGGAGCAGCAGGCAAAGTATGGGGCTTGGGGAGAACGAGGGCAACAGCTTGAACTGAGAACCACGTTCAACAAGATTTGTGGTTTTGTTTTGTCTCATAGTTCTAGTTTCCAGTTCAGTGCTGAACAGAGATGACTTCCTTCTGTTTATTTTAATGCTGAATGTTATGGGTCAAATGTTTAGACCTATTAAGGGGGCATGAAGGACAGAATTTGATCTGGGGCGCCTAGAGGAAACAGCTCTTCTCTGGGATTTGGTTCCAAGGATGAGCACATGTAGTGAGACTTCTTGATAGTAAGGGCACTAGAGAACAGGACAAACATCCACCCTCAAGGAAAATCATAAAATCTAATTCTCTTTTTGCCTGGACTTCAAGGAAACTTAGAGTTAAATTTAATGTTCCAATTACAAGTATAGTAACCTAGTTTTTTTGTTTATTTCTTCCTCCTTTCTTCTCAATGGTTTTGATTTTCCATTTTCAATGCATTATTATATCTCTGTATCTATCTACCATCTATACCAGATTAAATGGTTTTTGGAAGTAGACAGGGTAATAATTATTAAACAACTTCAGTGACTTAGTGTCTTATGTACTACATTAGCCTTTTACTTTGTATATTTTTATGACTCAATGGACATGACTGAATTGTAATACATTTAAACTTTATGAAATTGAGTCATACTTCGACAGCTCTATCATAGAAGAATTTTATAGCAGGAACAATGTCTTCCAGGAGAAGTCCTTATGTTATCAATAATTGGATATCACAGTATCATTTGGGATTGCATCTACTATTAGGAGACAAGGTTGCTATGTTAATCCATTTAAGTTATTTTTTTACTCTCTGGACATAGAAACTCTTTTACCTTTGAGCAAAGCTGTCAGGATAGCTAAGTCAATGTCCTGGTGTCCTTCTGATCCCATCCGGAATACCGTAATCTGCAATTTGAGACAAGGGGACCATTAACAATGCATGTTTTTCCCCAAGACAAATTCAATCAATGAGACCATATCTGAACACAGATTATCTTAATATCTACAAGGTGGATTCTTGGCCCCAGGGGAAGCAGACAGAGCAGGAATTCAGCTACAGGGTTCTGCAGTTCATTAAGAGGAAGATGTCTCATAGCCTCCTAACAGAGACCAACTCATATAATTGCATTGATTATGTTAACAACGATGAGAAACCCGAGACCGAGGAAAACGTCCTCTTCTATCATTTCAGTTTTAAAATGAAAACTTACTGGACTTAAATGCGTAAGCTGTGACGTACACGGTGAGTTGAGAAATTAAGTGTTTAAAAGTAGTTTAGTATGCCCTTCAGTAAGTGGTCCTACACATGTGTATGTGTGTGTGTGTGTGCATGTGTGCATGTATCTGCGTGTGTGCAATGCCATCACCACACTTACTCCACAGCAATAGTTACAAAGGGTTTCTCAAGAGTGTGATGGCTCTAGATTCTTTAGTCCTCTCACTAACCTTGAACCCCTTTGAACTCTCTCGCACTGTTGGTGAAAATGCAAACTGGTGCAACCACTCTGGAAAACAATATGGAGTTTCCTCAAAAAGCTAAAAATAGAGCTACTCTATGACCCAGCAGTCATACTACTGGGTATTTACCCAAAGGACACAAACATAGTGATTTGAAGGGACACCTGCCTCCCAATATTTATAGCAGTACCATCAACAGATGAATGGATAAAGAAGATGTGGTGTGTACACACACACACACACACACACACACACACACACACAGGAATACTATGCAGCCGTCAAAAAGAATGAAGTCTTCCCATTTGCAACGATGTGGTTGGAGCTAGAGGGTATTGTGCTGAGTGAAATAACTCAGAGAAAGGCAAATATATGATTTCACTCATATATGGAATTTAAGAAACAAAACAGATGAACATAGGGGAAGGGAAGGAAAAATAAAATAAGAGGAAAACAGGGAGACAAATCGTAAGAGATGCTGAACTCTAGGGAACAAACTGAGGGTTTGGAGGGGAGGGGAGTGGATGAGGGGATGGGGTAACTGGGGGATGGGCATTAAGGAAGATACTTGAAGTAATGAGCACTGGGTGTTGTATGCAACCATGAAGCTCTAAATTCTACCTCTGAACTAACAATACACTGTATGTTAATAAAATTGAATTTAAATTAAAAAAAAAATAACCTTGAACTCCCTTGAGAGTAACTTAGCAATTACTTCCAGGTTGTAAGAAGGGGAAAGCAGACACTACAATAACATCTTTCCTTTCGGTGATCCAGGGGAGGAAAGTATTCTCCAGGGATGAATTGCAGGACGGAACGTAAAGACACAGCAACGAAGGAATGATACATGTCGAATTAATACAAAGTCCCCAAATAATGCTGAACAATAACAAAATCTCTTCTTCAAGTCAGAGGGAAGTTACTTAAGGGAGCCAAAAGGTTATTTGACTATCTGCCCTGAATTACTATTTTTCTCAGCTGCTTTAGGCTTCAGGTTTCTCTAGCTATAAAACGGGAAAACAATAGTGCTTGTCCGTTTCCAAATATGGGAAGTACACTTTACTGCATTTGCTAACAGAGAATTCCAAGTTTAGCCACTGTGAGGGAAAGAAGAGACACAGACTCAAAGACTGTGACATTATCAGTTGCCTTAGAAATCCAGTCCACTATCCAAAATAACTTGTTTAAGGTCACAAAATGAGTTAGTTAGCTAGGAGAGTTGTGATTAGAACCCAAGAGCCCTGACATTTTTGTCTTGTGCCTTAAACACAGCAACAAAGAGGGGGAAGAAAGATCATATGAACATCTGACTTGTGAGCTGCTTAATTCTTTTGTGTCTTGATTGTTCATGTCCTGAGGTCGGAGTGTGGGATGAGTGTAAGGCAGAGAGTGTAGACTGAAATGCCTTTGTAGGCTTTTGAACGTAAAAATATGAAAAATAGAGAGAGACAAACAAAACCTATCTACACCTTGTGTTTGGCTCACAGGCCAAAACTGTGATCTCTGGAAAGGACCAGCGTGTGGAGGCGTGCCCCAGCTCTGTTAGATTTGCACTGAAATCGACTTCCGCTCGTCTGTAGGTCTGGCCAAAGGGCCAACAGGACATTCTCCCAAATGCCTACGGTTGTCCCCACAAAATCCACTTGGAAGAAGGGAGGCAGCTCTTCTCAGTTCGGAACTCGGGGACAGGTGCCTGAATTGGGAAGACAGTCTGCAGTCCATAGGATTAAGAACCAGGGGGGCAGAAGTGGAACTTGGCCAACCCTACAGATGAACTCTTTGAGCCAGGCTGGCTATGCTGCGTCCTTAGCTAGGAACAAGCTGAGGAGAATCAGAGTAACATGTGAGCTCATTGTTTCGGAAAAATCCAAAACTTAGGCATCAAAGAATTCCTTAAACATCGGACCTACTTGTTCTGTAGATGCTGACATTTTACTGCCTAATTAGAGATCACATTTCTTACACAAATTTTTCTGAGGCAGCAAATAGAAAAATTTACCCTGAAATATAACATTATCAGGCCTTCCTAGGAACAGATTTGAGGAGGGGAAAAGAAGGTTTATAGTGTAGGGTTTCTAAAGGATTTGGGGTAAGAGGCAGTGGAGACACAGTTACATGTTTGTTTTTTTAAAGATTTATTTATTTATTTGAGAGAGAGAGAGAGAGAAGGAACGGTCTGAGGGAGAGGGAGAGAGAAAATTTCAAGCAGACTCAACACTGAGCACAGAGCCCAACACAGGGCTCAATCCCATGACCCTGAGATCAGGAACTAAGCCGAAATCTCTCGATTTTTGGATGTTTAACTGATGGAGCCACCCAGGCGCCCCTCTCTGTTTTTGTTTGTCAAGGAGCCTGACGTGGAATTGTATGCCAGGGCTTCACAGTTTTTCTGGAAAACTGATGTGGAGGGAGTGGCTGCCCATCCGTCCATGCCCCTATTCGAGATGAGAAGGAAGAATGAAGGAGAGGCTGGAGGTTCCAAAGACAAAATTTATTTCATAATTTTGCCTTGAGCTGATTAGTGGGATTGTGTCTTCATCACTACTCTAAAACATTTTTATTTGAAATTTAAGACATTTTAAAATCCCAATTACACGATGTATCCATCTAACCTCAGGGGGTAAAAGGTCAAATAAAATCAGAGCCATTCTACCAACCCCAAGTTTGGCAGAGATGCAGAAAATCAAGTATTCTTAAATATTCTTGGTGGGGCTGTGAATCAAAATAGTAGTTTTGGAGTATGATAGGTTGATAAAAATTCACTGGTATTGATATATGATTCTTTAACAGCACTAATATTTTATTTAGGTCTTTGCAACTGTTTGGAAATGAGGTTGGTACATGTCATCAATCTTGCCTCATTTTGGGATTAGAGTTGCAGTGACTTTTCAGAATGACTTGGAAAGGCTTTTGAATTTACTTATGCCCCAGAACAGTTTATATAACAAAAGAAATTCTCCCACTTCTCCAGGTTTAGGAGGATGTCTATAAACATCCTTATTTAGGGACAGATCGCTGATCACCTATATAAATTTTCCAGCAATTATTGACCAATTTAGCTTTTCTGACTATCCCTGAGTCAGTTTCATGTAATTTCCTATGTAATCAGATATTTCATCTACATTTTCAAGTTCATGGGTACACAATTATATGAACAATTCTCTTATTTTTTAAAAATCTCTTTTTTGTCTAGAATTATATGGATTTTAAAAAATTCTTTATTTTTAACTTAATCAAAATCTCGGTCATCTCCAAGAATTTGATTTTAATTTTATGGATCAATATTATTATTTACAATTTGAAGTTACTATTTTCTGTTTTTATCATTATCCATTCATTTCTTCTGTTTTTGCTCCCTTAAGCTATTCTTTTCCTAGAATTTTAGGTGGATGCTGTGGTTATATTATTTTTATTCCTTCTTGTTTCCTAATCATGGATCTAAGATTATGTATCTCACATGTTTTTATATGCATTATGTAATTTTCATTCATTTAAAAATATATGTCACTTATTTTCTCTTAAAATTGTTTTTAATGTTAGAATGTGTGTATTTTAACATTTTTTAAACATGCTCTTTTGCTTAAAAAAAGCATGTCTTCTCTATCTGCTGGGTACAGAGTTTTAGGTAGATTGATATAGATACAGATCATACTTTTTATTCAAATACTCTACATACCTATTTTCAAGAGGCATGGTAAAGTCTCCTATTTTTTTTTAATATTTATTTGACAGAGATCTCAAGTAGGGGGAGAGGCAGAGAGAGAGAGAAGGACTCCCTGCTGAGCAGAGAGCCCAATGCGGGGCTTGATCCCAAGACATTGGGATCATGACCTGAGCCGAAAACAGGCGATTTAACACACTGAGCCACCCAGGCGCCCTGTTAAAGTCTCCTATTATGAGTAACGCTTCATAATTATTCCTTCAAAGTAAATAAGTCTTTGGTTTGCATGTTTTGAAGCTTTTCAAAAATGTATAAAGGTTCATGACAGTCTGTTCTTGGTGGGCTGCAGTTTTTATCAACATCAACTAGCTTCCTTTTCTATTTAGTGCTGTTGCTTTGCGTTACATTTTATTTTAAATTAACATTTTAATCACCATATATGCTCTTATAGGGGATTAGAATGTGTCTGATATATTATTCCATCTGTGCATTTGTGGGGTTTTTTGGGAGGGTCACTTCTTGGTGGCATTTTGTTTTAGGTGTCTATCTCGTAAACAACAAGGCTAGAGTTTGTTTGTTTGTTTGTTTTTTTTTTAAATGAATCAGAATATCTTTCTCTTCAAGGCAGAAAAGAATTCAGCTATGTTTAATATGATTACTGATTTCTTTCGTCTTTTTTTCAGCGTATTTTGTTTTCTATTTTCTAGACTTTATCATTTCCCTTCTACCTTTCTTTTCCTTTAAAAATATCATATTTGCTTAGATAATAAATGCACATGGCAAGAAC